TCACGTAATCGTATGTATTAAAGAAAAACTAACCTTGCAGCCAGCCGTTAGGCAGTTTTGTGCGCTCGAAGCTCCCAAGCAGATCGCAGTCCTTCCAGATGAGGCTGCCATGCATGCTTCCACGCCCCATCCACTGAATGATAACAGTCCCAGCAGTGACATAGGCTTGCACAGTTAGGGAGAACGCGTCCTTCCTATTTTTGTACAGGTGCTCCAAGTAATGATGAGGATTGATCTGCCAGAATGTTCAACCGATGAATCACAGGACCTTAACAAACCAATCTCTGCGATCTGTGAAGAGCCAAAAACGAGATATTTAAAAACAATCATTAAAGCACTCACTTCTAATACTTATTTGAGGAAGCTATCACTTCGTTAATGTGACCAAAATCTGCTATAATCACTTTGAAATAAACTGAAGCCTCATGTAAAATTTACGTACCGCAGTGTATATGTCCGACTGAAGTATAGTACTAGCACAGTGGTAATCGTCTATAAAACTAATTTTCCAAAATAACATAAATTTTTTAAGTGCAACCAGGCTTCTGAAAAATAAATTCACATTAGCTTTCCAACTATCAAACGTGGTCAATCGACAGGCCCAACCTCATAATCAAACAAGAGCTCACTTGTATCAAATCACAAAAAAACTTTTTATGTATTTGCTCCATAATATATGTATGTATATAACAGTAGTAGTATATTTTTCATGCTTCAACTTACCATAGAGAAACATTACATCTGATGGGCTTAAAAACTTGCACACGTTATAGAACTGCGTGAATTATAGTACTGGTGAAATTTAGTTCTGTAAGGTGAACTCACCGATGGCAGCATTTAGTAGCCGTCGGTGTCATGAGGAACCAAGTACGGCCAACAGGCAAAGGGCATCTGCAGACTGAAAGCTGCCAATGACAGCAATGAAGGGCTGGCCAGGCGTGCACGTCCATTGATAAAGTGTAAGAACTGGCCATGACCGGCTGTTGTCAAGGCTCTAGTGCCGTGAAAAACGATGGCCAGATAAACTCGGAAACCTGTAGTTAGGCGATATTGGCCTACAACTTCATCCAAAGCAAGGCACCGGTGAAATCTTTGCTTTTTCTGGGGGCCGAAGGGAAGCATGACGTTCACGGGCTCTCGCTGCCACATAGAACTCTCAAGTTGTTACCGAAGAACAGTCTAGGCGCGCTTCCAAAGTAACACAATCCACAACAGAATGTAGCATCTCGCAGTTTCGGTTGATCACATCACAGCGCTAGGACTATGGTTATCACAAAAAGGAGAAGTGACGACTTAATAAACAAAAGCGCCAAGCTGCCCCACCACAACTTCGCCGGGCAAAACAGTTATCAACGCTGTCTTTCAATTTTCGGTCACACGAGCACAGCTTGTTCACAAGTCTTGGAACGTGAACACAGCACCACTGTTCACAACGAACATCGTTTCACTCCCGAACAGTACATTGCTCTCAAGTAAATAGAAGCGTACGGGCTAACTAGTGGCGAAGCAAGAACCGAGCGCGTAGTTCATACGTTTACGTACGTACTTGGGGTCACTCAAGTAACGTGTCAAAACGCTGTCAATCCGAAATGTCGCACAGCACCCAACTGAGAGACTGGAAAGTCAAGCGAACGAACTGTTACCGGCACACAAACACACATTGCAGGCTTCTCGAGTGCTAGTTGCCGTCGATACATCGACGCCGATCCCCGCTTGATAACTACACCGACGCACAGGCTTCGCTGCGCTTCACCGTACACCATTGCACTGCCACAGCTTTCCGCACTGCTCACACGCACTGAAAGAGCTGCTGTAATCACAACGCATCCGGACGAACGCTGAAGTAACTCGTGCGAGAAGCGTTTGCTGAAAGTCGCACGGACCGATATGCTGTTTACGACGCCACGTTGTTTTCGACAACTGCACCGCACGTAAGAGAGCTCTTAGAAAGTACTTGCACTATTTTCACGGCGTGACAAAAATTTCTCTTATGTGCGAGGGGGGTGACATGACGAACAGGACAGGCGTGCCAGAGGAAAGAAGTGTTTTGGCAACGTCACGGAGTGAGCTGATGTAGAGGGTATTGCTTCACAACCAATCACAAGCTGTGCCTGTCGGCCAAGCCGTCGTCTGCTCGCGTTTGTCGTCTGCTTCGATCAGAGCATGCGACAGGGGATTCGTCTTCGCAACGCTATTATTCTCAGGTCAAGTGGCCGCTGCGTCGCGCAAAATACATGTCAGTGGCTCACTCTACCTTTGAATGATGTTCGTGCGCCAAGTTAAATGGCTGGTAATTGACGCAGGGATGAATTCAGCCAAGGTTTGCTCCATAATCGTGAGGGTTTGCATATTTTCGGTGTCATACAAAGTTACTAGGGTCATTTTATTCCAATTGCTTGCCATATTATCATGGTCCATATCGGTGTCTGAACAGTGAGGGTGAAGATGCATGATTTGTTTGGAGTTCCATGCGTAATCACGCGCACCCCTAATATGCTTTGGTTTACAAAGTACGCTTTGTTCCAGATCGTCCCAAAGTGTATCGACAGCTGTATTTCAGAGATCGCAACCATTGGACAGTTAGAGCCAATGAAAGTACACTAGAGCACAAACTTTATGAACCACTCACTGAAAACTTCCTCTCATTTTTATTTCCAATAGCGTGCAAAGAATGTGCTCCCATTAACCTCTTTGGTGGTAATTTCCACCAATGAGGCAAGGATCTCGAGTCGCACTTTTAATTGGATGAGATGGGGCGCAACACAACAACATAACAAATAAGGTTGATCCTATGTCATGTCGCGTTAGAATGCACCGACCATTCACGTATCACATTGGTTTTCATCCAACCACAAATCTTTACATGCGTAGTTTTATGCCATTGCCGCCCAATAGAATTCTTCAATTACTGCGACTTCGAACTTATTCGACGGTAGTGGTTGTCAACACCATCCACTGCGTACAAGGGAAACAACACGCGAAGCTCAAAGCGCCGAAAGAAATAAAAACGCACCAGCAGTCATCAGGCAGCCCTTAATGGGCGTGAATTAACTCAAAACCAGCCAGGGCACCAAAGTATACCGCTGCGGCAGCAGGTTCTAAGTAGCCACATTGTTCCTAAGAGTGGTCCGGACCACTCTTGGGATTTTATCTCAGCCATGCTGTTTTTACGCACAATTTCGCTTCGTGAATCCACTTACGAGCACTTTTCAGTGACGTAAGCAAATATAGCAGCTGCATCACCATCGCTGACATGTTCCCGGGCAGTCACAGCGCGCTTTATTTGCAGTGGCCGATGTGACAACTATGGCCTCTTACGACGTTTTTTCGTTTCGTGAATCGACTTACGCAATAAAATTTCTCTTGCGCAAAAATGTTTTCGTAAGTGAGTTTTGTGAATCCGGGCCCTGGTTCTTACTTTATTGTTTTAAAACGTGCCATTACAACTGTCAACGTAATTCCTCAGATGATATGACGCCTGCATACGGTCAGTCTGGAACGCAGTTACAAACCCAATCGTAGCTTAGTGATATAGAGCCCTTAAATGTTACGCAGAGCTTCGACTCTAATCCAATCTTCGGTAGTTTTGATTTGTTAAGTCTTTTTTTTTTACACGCAAGTGGTTATGAGCACCAACGGCGGTGGCGGTGGAGAAGTGCGGTGGCAAAACTAGTTATTGTTGTGACCTCAGAACAGCTTTGGATTTAAATTAACTTAGGAGGAAAACATCTCTGTCGCTCTAGTCGCGATTGGCTACGTAAATGGACTCGTTAAAAATTTATTTTGTTTAGATGATTGCTATGCGCATATATGCTAGTTTTGGAGACAGAAGGATCTTCGTAATCAACCACGCCAATGAGCGCGAAAGACAGCTTCTTTCCAACCCCCCCTTCCTACACATTCTGTATCTACAAAATAAATGTCAGAGGGCAGACACAAACGCTGGCCACGGAAGCGTCGACTTTATTGTTTCAGTACAAAAGCAAGATACCCGGTGTACACGCTCCGTACCTGGATGTAAAATAGGCCTCAATATGAAGGTAACGAGCGACCGAGGGGATACGGGTGGCCCTGCAATCGCCTCCTTGATAAGAAACAGCTTTCATAGTTGTACGTACAGTGCTCTAAATCATCGCAGTGGAGTGGTATAGCGCACACCTTTTTGGATTTGTGGTGTCGTTCCATGTCCAAGAAAGCCCACGCGAGCTCATTCGAAGTGCATTACGTCATGACGTCACCAATCTCATCAATGTGTCATATCAACATTATGCCTACTTATTTAGAGTGCAATATGGTGACATCACAACCGCATTACGTCGCATGATCAGGTCATCAATCGACATCCTAGATCAGTCAAATGCTTGTCGATACCGGAGGCAGTGCCACGGCTGATGAGGTGGAGAAAGTTTCAGCGGAGCCGCGTGCGCTTTTCGTGGGCCTTTCGTCACATCTGTGGAGTCAAGGCACCAGCCGCCTTAGCACAGTCGTGCGTGGCAAGAATCGGCCCACCGCGGCAACCCAAGCTGGGCGATCGGCGAAGAACCGGGTAGTTTTAGCGGAATACTTTATTTTGTTTGCTTATGTTTTTTAAATGACGAGAGACCTGGATAAAAAATGCAATATTAGAAATCAACAAACAAAAATTAAGGATATGGAAAATGAAGCAAAATATTTGAACAACAATAAATCAATCAATAAAAATGAGTAAATAAATAAATAAATACATAAAGTGCTTAGCAAACAAGTATTTTATACTTATTCGATTTCGTCATCCGTTTCGTCGTCCGTTTCGATTTCGTCATCCGATTTCGTCAGTCGTGCTATAACATATCCCATAGCGAGCAGAGAAAACGCGTGGTCAGCTTTCATAGGCTGCCACTAGCACACGCCTTGTTCGAACATTCTGGGTGGCCGTTAACTGGTCCAGTTGCACCTCGCTTCAACATAAACGCCCACGTACCGTTGAAATTTCTGCAGCATCCGAGACCAGCCCGGGCAGAATGAACAACTACGCCGTCATGGAAAAGATCGGGAAAGCACGGTGCGTACTGCATCGTGTGCAAGGCAAAGTTCAAGTTCAACGACAAAAGTTTAGGAAGAAGTTCAGAGTCAAGGGTGACGAGGAAGGCGTGCCAGCCACGGCCATACGAGAGGTGTCCCTTGATTGGGAGCTAAAACACAACATTGTGTGTCTCGTGTACGTTGTCATGATGGCGTCTGAGGCTACACACTTGGTCTTTGAGTATATGACCATGGACCTTAGGAGGCACTTGGATTCACGGCCCGAAAACAAGGCCCTATAGATGGCTCCATCGATAAGAAGTACCTCAGTCAGATCGTTTATTACTGCGGGAACAACGTCAACATCACTTCAAAGGAAAGCCACAATGGGGTGCGAGCTCCTCCTACGTAGGAGCTTCCAGCTTATATCATTTGGGCAGCCCTCCAACGTGACGGGCGAGTGAAATCTGGTCAAGTGACCTCGCGAAAATTGAGTGTAGGGGCGGCTTTTTAATTGAATTTTGAGTTTTCTAAGTAATATAACTTCAGACTACGTGCCATTACCACTGCCATTTTTCCTTTATTAGTCTGTCTGTACTTAAGTTTACACAACCCACGAATAAAGCATGCGGGTTGGAATAGTGGTTGAAGGCCCCTTTAAAGAACCCAGATGGTCGAAAATTTCGGAGTCCTCCAGTACATTGTCTCTCAAAATCATATGGTGGTGTTGGAACGTTAACTCCAGATATATATCTATTCATTAGAGGCGTGAATTACGTAGGGGTTGCCGTGTACTCCACCCCCTGGCCAACTCTACCCAGGGAGTTCTCGATAAATATATCATATGTTGTCACCTTTTTCAAGAAAATTGTCGTTGCTGGTTTGAACACCTCATAATACGTAGTCGAAGGTACTATATTAAAAGGCTTCAAGACGAGCACCAATTACCTGAGATATTGATGTTAAAGAGCATTTACATCGTGATAAAAAGAGCTTATCGTAGATTTACAGACTCATTAGTCGACTCAGTCGAACTCCGACTAAGATCGAGCCGCGAGTCTGAGTGAGTCCGGGTGAGTAATACTTCAGCGAGTTCGTTTCTGAGTAAGTCCGGTTGAAAAATGTTTTTCGTAAGCGTGAGTCAGAGCGAGTTCGGCTCAGGAAATCTTTGGTGAGTCCATGTCCGAGTGAGTCTTAAGCGCAAAATACAGTTTCGGAGTGGGTCTGAGTGAGCTCCATCTGTCATTCTGCTTTTTCTATAGCCTAATATACGTCGAGAAATATTTGTGAATTGGTGCCATCATTAGTGAAGAGCACGATGCCATCTGCAAACGATGAGATATTCAAAGTTCATCTTTATTTCCACCTACTTCAAGAGCTCAATCGTTTTTTTTTCTAAAAATGCATGTAGTAAATATTATTGGGCAGATCGCATCCCGGCGGCTGATTCTTTTTTCATCGCAACATTTTTTTCCTTCATAAATCTGTGCATTTCGGAGATTTCGCAGATAAGCACATAACAGTAGTGGTGTTCGGACTTGTCTAAGTTTCTCCTTGCAGAGGCAGTGAATAAAGCTTTTTCTGGGTTGATTGCTTTTTCGCAATCATGAACGTCGGATATAGATCACCTTTTCGGAAGATGTCTCTATCGCTTGACTAGTCGAAAAACGATGGTTCGTTCTATCCGAGAAGACGGCTAATTGTCTAAGTTGATTGAAGTTGGAAGTTTTTATAAAGTTAGTACAACTGTCTTTGTAATTTCTCATATATCAGAGAGAGTAAGCTGATGGGCTAATCAATAATGTGTTGTTTCGTACTACGGCTATGTGATTTTTACTTTTAAATCAGCATGCCTGGCTAACTTGCACATTCATTTGTTAAACTTGTGCTCCTTGGTCAATTTGCTCATAACAAGAATTTTCTCTTGTGCAGTTAAATAATGTTTGTAGCAATTTACCATTTTGATAAACCATTGCACTTATACCTTGGTGTGGGCCTCCGTGCCTAAGGCATGCTTGCGTTCCTGGCGACATTAACACACTAAGGCGACAGATCACGTTTTATTTTTGTGCTTTGAGCTAAGCTCAAGTCTCCGATATAACAAGCGAAATAATTTACAAGCGAAATACAGTCTGATGCGACAACGTTGGTGTGGCCTTTGTCGGCGTACAGGAGATGCGCCAGAACTTGGATGCCTGCAACATTTCTGCGAATGTCCGTCACCCGTGCGCGCAGTGCCTGTCTGCTGTGGTCTTCCGGCAATGCCACCATGCACTATATGCTAATGTATGCCTCAAAAATATGCCGTCACTTCCTCGTCGGCGTCCATACCGAGTTGTGAGAAGATAATACGCTGAACTCGCATACCGTCTTCTGAGACGGCACTCAGGGGCATCAACACGGAATCATACGTCGAGAACGCCGCACCGTGGTACTATTTAAGGGGCAGCAAATATACGAATTTGTACGAATCTGTATTCAATACACGCAACAATAAGTCAATCTTGCAGAACGTTGTTCACATAAAATACGCAAAAATAGCACCCACTTGCAGCAAACTTGGCTGCCATTTTGGGCGTGGTGCTCGTCTGGTGACCTGAGCAGTCGGCTGGTCATGGTGTCACGCATCTGTTTCTCCCGCCTTCGGCTGCGTTCAGCGACGTGTCAACCCAGGAACCCTCGTCTTCAGGGTCATCGTTGCGAAGACGGTGGTGCAGTGGCCACGAGAGCCTCGAACTCCTTCAAGAGGTTTTCATTTCACGGACCAAGGCTTCGGGCCGGGCTACAGCCACTGGAGCTATTCGTTGGCTCTTGCTTCACTGCACTTCTGACTTGGGTCGCAGTCGACAAGCCCTTATGTCCCGAGGTATGGGATGGGTTTACACCGTCCAAGCTCCCGCCTTTGACAGCACGATTTAAGTTTTTGACTGGCTGCTGTGGCGTTCCTTTGCTCTCGCCGCCAGTGCCTCTGCTTCGGGTTTGTTGCGGCCACTGCCTTTGTACACCAATTCGCGTGGCCGCAACCTGCGATGTCCAGTGAGCAACGTCGTCGTAACAAGTAGTACACGGGGATGCAGAACGGAGCACATGCGAGCACTGGCCATCTTGATAGCATCCTTCTTAGTTGATGGTATTCGAGATAACGATGTCATGAAGGGTGCTGCCACATGTGTCTGGATGCTGCTGCAATGCTCGTCAAAGCACGTGCAAGATGATAGGTGTTCTTTACAGTTTCGCTATGCTTACCACCCTGAAGGCGCACACGGGCGACAATACAGCGTTCCGGCTCGGTAAAGTCGCGATAGAGTCCATGTCGGGGAGTTCGATGATGGGCCAAAGCGAATCTGCTTCGCCTGCAGCACTGTGGCATCCAAAGGCCTCAGTATTCCTGTAGGCTTTTGTTGACGTCCTGCTGCTTCGCGTATACGCAGAGACAAGTCTTTGAGAGGTCGGCGAATTTCGGAGCTCTGGCCATCTGCAGCGAGTTTCATGGACTCAGAGAGTCCATGTCTAAGTGGCGAGTACGAAACCAAGCTCAGCTCACCGCTTGTGGATCGACAACACTGTGACAGGCGAAATTTTTTCCGCTTCCGATGGTCTGCCGCGTACGAGATGCCCGAACCTTGCGGCTTCGACGATGAGCGTATGTCGACCCATAGTGACTGTTGTCGCCGCTGCAACGTGTTCGGATCAACATCGTGCGGCTGTGGACGGAGACAGGCAGGTCGTCGATCAGGCGCAGATGAACCGTCACGCTGCTTCCAAATCCACTCCGGGGCGTTGCCAAAGATGGAATGTCGGCGACGCAAGGCTTTGTCACTGTTGCGCGAACGCAGGACAACGCGGCCGGCACTTCGGGCGTGCGACACCTAAGAAAGAAAATAAATGAAGAATGTGATTTCATTTTGTAGTGGCGCCAATGCGAATAACACAGTTAAATCTAACATTAATAGAAAATATAACTTTTCCTGGATAAAAAGCGGCCATTGCAATAACTAGTGAACATATTTTCAAAGCTATGGCGTACGACACCATGAGAGTAAAACAAATTACCATTTGTTTGTGGTGAAGCCTATGTGAGCAACTACACCACAGGTAAATGTAACATTCATATATATTACAGCGTTTTCTGTATGTAAAGTGGTAATTTAATGAAGTGTTGCACCAATTTTCAAAGATTTGGCGTAGTTGAACTATATGTTACGTTATTGCACCGAAATGGCAGCGTCATCAATACAGCTGTAGAACGAGGGGACAAGGTACTCATATAAGACTGTTCTTGGAAGTAAGTATTCCTAGGTAAGATACTTTAGTCGACTTCAGTTGCAACAAATATAGATCTGAAAAAAATCGGGAAAGCTTGAGTTCAACAGTTACTTTTTTGCCAGAAGAAACACTAGAAGGGGTCTTCTGCAGTTTCGGCATGCCAGAAGGACACAATTCAATGCTGTTGAATTCTGAGATAGAGCCTGATCTGAAAGTTTCAGGGGGTATCTGACATACGTATTCCAAGTTTATATTTCCTAATAAAAATAGCATACGAAACCCACGCACCCTTTAGAGGAAAGTTTAACAGAAATATTGCAGGTTACCACTGAAGACGATATACCTTTTCTTTTTATTCACAATAATGGCACGCGTTCTGAAATGGTATTTCAATGCCGATATAAAAACACCTTGAAATATGAGCTCACATCATAACTATTCCAGGCGAGAAAGTGGCTTAGTATGAAGAACAAGCGGAATGCATACACTAGGAAAAGGTGACATTACTTGTTGTTGCCCGAGCAGTGGCCGAACGGAGAACAAAGCAAGCGCACGTTGAGAACGAAGGAAATATACCTCCCCACCAGAACCATGCGGTGAAACGTGCCTCATTTACACATTTCGAGCACCCTCTGATGTACGTCAAACGCTGTGATAGAAAAACATGGGCAGCAGGTTTACAAAGAAATATTAGGAGCCATGATTTCGAATGCCATCACGTGCTCTCTGCCACGAGCAAAAAAAAGTGCTAACGTGAGTACCATGATGGCGCGCTTGTGCAGTAGCGCGATGTATCCTAACCGAACGGGAATATTGCTTTCGGAAATAGACGGTAGGTATCGATCGATCCACGAAGGATTGCTCGCATGTCGTCAAGTCGGCTTTTCCCATACGCCGAGTGTTTCTCAAGACCTGAAGTTCAACGCCGATGGAGGTCTTGAGAAACACGCGGCGTATGCCGAACACTCGGCGTATGTTCGGCAGTATGTGGGACGGCAAAGGGCCTGGTTACTAGCGATAGCGGCACTCAAATGAT